TTATTTTTAATTTTTTTTTTTCCCCTTCTGTGGTACTGCCATTTCATTCCACATTGGCGCAACTTGTCTGTCCCCTTAGGGGATCATATTAAAAATACGACAAAAAAAGAAAAAAGACACTGTGTCGATTGAGCCAACTTGAGAGGGTTAAACAAAGAAGGGAAGAAAAACCTCTCAACCGTAGCATATATAACCCCCCCCTTTTCCTCCACTGTCGCATTTTTGTAATTCATTAAAAAATCAGATTACCAAAGATTTCAAAATTGCAAACATATTTGTTTAAAGAAAAGAAATAAAAAAAAAAATAAATAAAAACTGCAACAATGGCACACGAATTTTTTTTTTTTTTCTTTTTTTCTCCCCTATTCAATCGTTTTCCGGATATGTAGAAGCAGCACACCTACATGTGTATTGTGTCCAATATGTGTATTTGTGCCTGTGGATATGCGCAAGGGCAAAATGGAACAGGTGTCAGTCTATAAAATCTTACCCTTTGCGCCTTTCCCCCGATCTACTTATATCCGTATGAAAAATATCTTTCTTTCCATTTTAAACAATGTTTAGAAGACTTTACAATTATATTTTTTTTTTTCTTCATTTTTGTAAAATATAATCAAGATTTAATCTTCTAACTGAAAGATTTAAGCAAAGCGAAAATCAAAAAAGGGAGAAAAAAAAAAAACAAAAAAAACAATCCGTGTGCAGAAATCCGAAATATCTTTCGCCACATATTTTCGAGATTTCCAATTAATTTTTTTTTTTCTTTTCTTTTTTCTTGCAAGTGGTTTGTTCATCATCGTTTTTAGTGAATTACGCGACGTTTTGTGGTTCCAGGGGGGTTCTTTCCCTCTTCGCATCTCCCGTTGTCTGGGCGGTATTGGCGTAGGCACTACGGTTTCTTTTGGGAATCGCTCTTCTGGAGTGAACAACCCAACGTTTGACTAACCTCAGACATCCTGCCAGGATGTCGCCAAAACTGCCTTCCAAGTGAAGATGCTCATTTGGTGAGGCACTCCGTCCCATGGCACAGCTAACCAGGAGTGGCTACACCTCTACATTAAATTCCCACCCCTCGGTGGGAAATATCATATGAGGGAAGGCTCACTCTTTCATTTGTTCTGCCCCTCGCCCCTTCTCCTTGGTAATGATTAACCGGAGAGCAGCTTGGGGCCTCCCAAAATGGCGCCCTATCTGTAAACTAGGCGACACAAAAAAAGCATAAACGGATCTATACAAGTGCGTACATTCAAATATATATTTATACAAGGGGGTAGGGGGGGAACCCCCCTTGGGCTGCGGACATCTTGTGTTCAACGGGAAAAAAAAAGTGGCTCCTACGGCCAAGCAACGAATATTGCCCGGTCAACTACGCACCATGAAATGCGCTAATTAAAGTTCTTCATTTTGTAAAACCGGGGAGCGTGGCAAGGGGAAATCAGCAGCCAACGACTACGGGGGGGAGTTTTACAAATTGGCGCAGGCGTGAAAGGGCGGAAAAAAAAGCAAAAAATGACGGAAAAAAATAAGGCAAAAAAAGTCGGCAAAAGTGGGGCAAAAAAAAAATAACAAAACGGAAGGCGAAGCTAACGCGAAGGGGAAAAAAACACAAACGAACGACATACGCATGCGCATAGCGGTGTCAAAAGGGGGAGCTCTCTCTGCGCGGTCCCTGCTTCGTTCCTCCCGTTTCCTTTTTTTTTTTTTGAAGTCTGCTCGTTGCACCTGGGATATCCCTCCAAGGGGCGACTTAGTAGTCGAGAAAAGTGAGAATCCAATATCGGGTAGGTACCAATCTGCAGCGGCTACGCAGCGACGTTTACGCAGCAACTTGTAGAGGCGAGGCAACCCAGAAGCGGCAACGCGACGGGCGAACCAATCGACGAAGGACCTCCTCGAAGCACACACAGCGTCAAGTAGCCTGAACACCATATGATGAATACACCAACTCGTTTGCAGAAAGAAAACGAGAGGAGAAAAGATGCGGCCCCTGCCTGCGCTTGCGCCTGTGCTCGTTGCAGTGACGCTGACCCAGCTAGTGTGCCACTGCTTTGTAAACACCAAATATCAAATACAGCTAGACCACAGCATACCTAGTGACTTCCTCCACAACGACCGTTCGCATAAGTATACCAATGTGACCATCGGGAATGACTCCTTTTTGTGCCTCCTCGGAAAGTCAAGCAGGTCTGGCGATGCCAGAGAAGGGGGGACTACTTCTCCCTATAACGATGAGGAAGAAGAGGTAGCACTCTCGGGGTGTGATGATCTGGGGGTATTTAAAAAGGGAGGAGAAGCATCCGAGGGGATAAACAACTACGTGGAGGAAAAACTATATCGAAGCAATTACCTCTTGAAGCATTCTCAGGGGAAAGGAATATATTACGAATTACATACACAGAATGACCCCCCCTTGTTAGGCACATGGGAAGGGGGGGCACCCCAAATGGTTGGGAGTAAAATGGAAGCGGGAGAAACGACGGGCAAAGAGGGAGAAGAAGGAGAAACCACCAGCAAAGAAGGAGCAGGAAGGGACACCACACGCAGTAGCCACCGATACAGGGAGGCCAACCCAGCAATAAAGAAACACCACACAGGAAGGAGGGGGTCCCCCCAAAAGCACCGCTTTAACGAAATCAGCGTAGCTCAACGGAGGAATAGCGCACGCCGAGCCATACAGTGCAACTTCCAAAAGGTGTATGACTACATTTTCTACAAGCACAAATTCAATGTGTATCATAAAAACAGAACGTACCAAAACGTGAATGAACAAGTTTTACTAAAAAATCATATGATAAGGGGGAAAATGCTCACCATAAAAAATGTCTGCATTGATGCGTTTACACCGTCGAGTGAGAATGAACTGAAAATCTGCGTAAACAAATCCATTTCATTTGTTTCGAAAAGGTATGATCAGAAAAAAATCCAAAGTAAGAGCAGAAAACACACATGCATTTGTAGCTACCACAATGACAAAGATCTGCTCTTCGTTAACAACACCGTGGTTCAGTACTACAGCGATGGGATATATTTGTTCGAGGTCCTTTTCATATGTGGGAACAATAACTTACGAGTTAATAGCTTCGAAAAATTGCACCGACATTATTTCCCCTTAATTTTCCAGATATATGAACATGTTCAGGCGAATTTGACCCAAATGTACAAAATTATTCTAAACAAATGGTCAAACAAGCAGCCTTACTTTTTTAAAACCTTTTCCATGTACCGCTACAGTGATGGTTACTTCAGAGCGTTAAAGGAAAAGCTAAATAACATGTTGAATGCATTTTTTCCCAACGTAAAACAACTCTACCGTGTAACTCTAAGTGCCTACATGTTCTGTGATTACACCCATAGGGTAAACCCACCCAATCATTTCTTGCTAAAAGGACTAATGAACAAGTGCTTCCAGTTCAGTAAGCATGACGAATATATTTATGAAGTCTGCCTGCCCAACAGTGTTATCCGATATGAGAAGGACGAATACGATAGAGTAAAGTACCCCCTTACTTTGCTAGGATCTTCTGATCGCTCCACAAATGAAGGAAAACCTTTTTTCGAAAAAATGTATGATGCGTTTCCTGTGCTCAAAATGAATTATAGGCTTCGTAAAGATTCAGAGAATTATCTGAAGACAAATAAGGGGGCAATTACTCAATCGGCTGTTATATCCATTATGCGGGAGGAGGACATTGATCATGCGGCTGTCTTCTCCGGGGGGAATTTCCCCTCGCAGGGTTATCCCCCTTCATCCAACCAGCTCTCTACCTCATCCATTTTGGCGCCCGGCTCGGCGACTGTCCTTTCGCCGTCATCGGAGTACACTCAGAATGGTGGTAACAGTGGTAGTAGCCATCGTAGCGATGGTAGCAGTCGTAGCAGCCGCAGCAGCCGTAGCGGCGATGGACACGGCCAAAATGCCCACCCACTCCTAACTACCTTCAAAGCCACAATTACGCCCCTGAAAGAGGCAGTCACCCCCCCTCCCTACTTCTCCTTTGCCACGGACCGAATTCCATACATAAGCACATACATGATAGACAAGCCAGTGGAGATTTTAAAATACGGGAGCGAAAACTTCTACAAAGCTTTAGCGGTTGATTTGAGGGGAGGACGGTGCAGAGACTCTCTTGGCGATGTACACGATTACATAACGACCATTTACTTCGACTGCTCTTTGCATTACCAGAACCAGACGCAGACAAACATAATGAACATATTCCAGACCACGGAGTGCCACTACTACGTGCATGTGTCGTCTCCTGTCCTTTGCGCCCACCCGACCCTGCACACGTCCGTCAAATCGCAGAAAGAAGTCATACGGTGTTTCAGAAATGTGTTCGCAGCGAGCGCCCAGAGGGTGGGCCGCTCCAGAGGTAGAAGCGGAAGCAACAGTGACTCCGCTAGCTCTCGCGAGGGAGAACCCGCCCAAGACGATCCCTACCTCAGTGACGCAGACAAGTTCTACCTCCACCAGTTTCGGGAAAACAGAAAAAAAATGCTGAAGAAAAAAAACATGCACGCACTCGAATCCGTGCCCAGGAGTACCAAAATGGAGTTTGGCGTAAAATATGACTTCGGGTTAGGAAATTATATCCGAAAAAGAGTGTACAAAGGAACCCCCATTTTTCACATTGGCAACATTGTGAGGCATCGATACTGGAATTACGAAGCAGTGGTGGTCAGCTGGGACTACATATGCTACGCGCCAGCCGAGTGGAAATATCATTTCTTTCTCGAGTACCCAACCGAAGTTCAAAACTCGGTGCATTACCTCCTTCTGGTTAATAAAGACGGGAAAAAGGAAGGCGCAATTTTGCATGACCGTTCAGCTTACACGGATCATCCTAACAAACGTACAGAAACTTCACACAGGAGACAGGTTAAACACGCAACTGCTAATATGGCGTGGGAAAAAGTACGGCTCAACGTGAGCGAAGAACAACCATTCCATGATGACCACTTCAACTTCGCTTACGTTCCCGAGTCCAGTTTGGTGTATGGAGAAAATATGATTTACAGCGAACATTTGTCGAAATTTTTCGAACAGTACAATTCCTTTTTTCATTTTTACATTCCCAAAAAGGATCATATAATTTGGAAGCTTTTCCCGTATGACTTCTTCAACCTTATATTTTGACATGTTCGCCCGTCGCTCTATGACGATTTCACTCGTTTTTTTGCGGCATTTTTCTGTAGGACCCCCCACCGAATCGTGTTAAAAGAGTGACAATTTTTTTTTTTTTTTCTTCAGCGTTTTGCCTGAACTGTTCATGTTGTTTGCAGCTGCTAGCTAGCTAGAAAAAAAAAATCCTCTTTTTCGCCTGTTTGTTCAGGCAAAATGCTCGGTGTTTCGTACCCAGATCTGCACACTAGCGCAGACACACACAAACAGACCCCGAGTGTGGACTGCCCATTTAAGTCCCCCCTCCTTTCACGCAGTGTATATGTCCATAAATGTGTCACCTCCTCGTTGTACATTTTTCATTTCATTCTACGTTTCACTGGATGGATTAGCCATCCGGGAGGCTCCTCCTACCTCAGGAGAGTCTCTCCCTCCAGTTTGTGCCTTTCATTGGCTACTCAACTATGCTTTTTCGCGCATCCCCAAAACGCGTTTTATTTTTTCACGTTCAACTGCAAACCTGTTTGAAACATGTTTGCTTTGGATAAGGCGGACAGGGGAAGGGGGTGTTTGGGGGAGATTTTTCCCCTGGGATATACAATGTACGTGACAAGAGGCAACACACGTAGCGCGGCAAACCTGTGTGTGCCAAGGGGAATCCTATTCACCCCCAAAAGTGTAGCCCCTCGTTGCTTCCCCCCCACGGGGTATCCACCTAGTAAACACCACACTGCTAGACATCCTCCAACAAGCCCTTTAGCTTCTTTCCGTCATGTAATTCCTGCATTTTGTCTATGCCCCCGACGAATTTCCCATTTACGTACAACTGCGGGAAGGTGGGCCATTCAGAGTAAATTTTTAAAGATCTCCTCAACTGGTGATCATCCAAAATATTAACAGTCCTAATTTCTTTCACTTTGTTTAGCTTCAAAATGTGTATTGCCTGTTTGCTATATTTACAAAATGGGTTTAAAGCTGTCCCCTTCATGAATAGAACTATTTTGTGTTTTTTAATTATACTTTCGATGAAGTTAATTACTTCTTCTGTTAACTCTGCTTGTGTTTCGCTTTCACTGGGGGTGTCACTGCAGGGTTGGTCTTCGTCATTGCTCATTTGGGTGTGCTCTTCGTCACTGCATTGATCTGCCCTCTTCATTTCGACATGATTCCCCTGGTGGACATCTTCCCCGGATTGAAATTTGCTTCCCTTACCATTTTCACAGTTTGCTTTGCGTGGAAAAATTCGTCCTCCTGTTTCCTCAACGTTGCAATTGGTCCTTTCACACTCGGCAAGCTGGCGACTCCCATGGCCGTTGTACCTCCACAGGGGTTTCCATTTCTTTTTATCAATTTTTTCGCCACATATTTTGTCTACTCCCTTTATATTTCCCCTTAACTCAGTTTTTGTTTTCCCTTCATTCGAAGCTATTGCCGTATTTTTATGAGCCCACAATATTTTAATCCCCCACGGTGCTCTTTTGCTATTTATGTTTGTGCCTTCTAAATGGATCACTTTGCTTCTGTTTCGTAACTGTGCAGGCCTACCATTATCGTTGTGAAGACCCTCCATCGATTTTTCATTCGAGAACGCTTCGTACAGTGGGAAGGCGCCGAGCAGGCAAACCAAATGGGGCACCTTACTGTTCTTCTTCATCTTGTTTCCCTTAACATTTTGGGGAAGGCATTGATCGGGGGGAGGGGGAGGAGTTCCAAAGCGGTAGTCACAAACGTTCGCTTAGGTGTGCAACGTAAGCGTATATAGGCAAACCAAATCCGTGCTAGCCGCGCACATTGTTGCTACATGCACAGTTTTGCTACATACGTGCGTGCATTTTCTTTAATTATTTTTCCCCCGGTGTGGCACGCATGTGAAACGCAGAACGTTATTTGTACATGGTGACCCGCGCGTTAAGGAAATCGCCTTGCGGAATTCGCAAAACGTACGGTTTGTGGCACGACAACGGGGAAGTAAGAAAAAAAAAAAAAAAAAACAAAGGCAACAGGGGAGGTGTTTCTCTTCCGAATGGCAGACGCCGGCACGCCGCTTCCCTCCCTCATTCGCTGTCGTTGGCCCCTCCCTTTAGCAACAGTTCGAAAGTGGAGCGGTGGAGGACGGTCTGCGTGGCAACGAGGGAGTAGTTTGCCATCAGGTTGTATTTCTGCAAAATGGTCATGACCCTCTGGTGAGCAACATTTAAGTCGATTTTGTGCCTCACGAGAAATTTGACAAACGGCTCGTCATTTATGTACACCTCCTTTAAGTTTTTAATTGGCAGTACTGATGATATTTTAAACGTGAGCGTCACGCTTTCGTTGGCTCCCCCCATAATGTCTTTAACCTCCTGTTCGTACATTTTTTTCCTAAATGGGGAGGGCATATATCTCCATATTTTGTACTTTATGTTAATCGCTTTTTCTGTTGCAGGGGTGGGATGATTGTTCCCTCGCTTGACGTCATTACCGCCTCCCGTGGTGATAATTTTGTTCCCTCTGCTGGAAGTAGCCGAGTTACCACGTGTATAGGAGTCCTCACCATCCAGGTTAGGCATCACCCCTGTGTTGGTTTCTCCCTCGACGAGATAACGATCGTATACCGCTTCCTCCACGGGAACAGCCAGTTCAATCCATTTATTATGCAAAATGGAGATCCCTTTTTTCACACCCACGGAGGCAGCGAGGTCATTCACCCCCTCAGGTACAAACCCCATTTCAACGAATGGCATTGGTACACCCTCTCTGTTTGGAAACATCCAAAAGGTTAAATGCTCTCGGTAAGACAGAACCGAGTTAAACAGCAGAGAAGACAGCTCACATACATTCTTCTTATCCACTATTGTCTCAATGACGATGCGAAAAAAGGAAATAACGTTGGAGTGATTCATCTTGAGGAGCCATATTCTAGCATAGTCGTAAATTATATTCAGGGCTGAATTAATTTTTGTGTTTTCTTTCAGTACGTTTTGTTCCTCCAGAATGAATTTCCTCGTTCGGGTTTTCCCCTCCCCGTGGCTTTCGACCTGCCCTTCCCGTGTGGGCCCCCTTCCCCTACTGCGATAAAACCAGCAATCCTCCTCATCCACAGTCTCCCCAACATTTTCGAAATATATGCCAACTGAATGGGTCCAGTAGTGCATATCCCCTTTGTACATGTTTTCTTCTCCTGACGAGGCAGGACTTTTCACGTTCTTCATGCCTCCGATTAGCATCTTCTCTCCATTAAAGAAAAACAGATCTTCAACATCGTTTTGTGGTTCCCCTCGATTGGTGGGTGCTTTGTACGGGTTGATCCTCATAAGCACGTCATCCCCGTGATGGTCCCCCTGGTGCTCCCTAATGGTGTCATTTTTTCCCTCTTCCCCCAAAGGATCCCATCGTTTGGCCTCCTCGTACGGGGGGTCGTCCTTTTGGGGCTCCAAAATCCGCAGGGCGTATGCCTTCTGGATAAAATTCTCCCCCAACCATATTTTCTGAGGTTTATTTTTTAAAAAAATGTCATCATTGCTGTGGGAGTATGCGTTGATCATATGTTTCAATTTGTCTGTGTCTGTTTGGTTCATCTGAAAGGGGGTGCTCAGGTGGTTCGCTCTGTGTGTCCATTTTTTTGCTAGGCGATTGTCTTCTCCAGTTTCCCATTTCACGTTTTGTATTTTTTCCGATTTGGCTTCACTCAGGGGGTGGTGGTCCCCCCGGAAGTGATCTTTCGCGCTGTGCTGCCCATCTTCCTCCTGCCTCTTTACCTTTTTATGGTCACCTTGGTTGGCATAGTCGCCTTTGTCATAGTCCCCTATGCCATAGCCTCCTTTCCCATCGCCGCTGTTTCCGTCACCCGTGTCAGGCGAATCCCCCTGATTCCCCTCTTTGGGGTCACCCAAAAGGGCCGCATAACTTCTCTTGCACGTTTTCCCCTCGCCAAGGGACGCTGTGTCGACGTACAAATCTTTGGTGCTGTAAAGGAACCACACGAGGTGCACAACTATTTCGTCATCCTGGCGGTGACCATTTGTGTGACCCTCGGGGGGCGCGCCGCTGAGTCGGCTCTGCATGTTTGGGTTTGCGCTGACATTTCGGTTCACATTTGCGCTCACATTTGTGTTCTGTTTTCCGCCGGGTGGGCTGTCAACCCCGGGGAGCTTCTCCCCAGTTGGGGCGCCCCCCCCAAGAGCGGTCGGCGGAGCCCACCTCCTCCTAACCGCAGTTACATGCTGAAAAACGTCGCCTATCTGGGACCACGTTAGGGTAATATCCGAATGGTCAATTCTCAGCTGATCCAACAAGACAAGCCAACATTTTAGCGTCTTTAAAAACTCCATAAAAGGGTACAGGGTGGTGTGGAGAAAAAATGGAGGGAAGAAAAAAACCTCCCACAGGACAATCTGGTCTTTCATTCTGAACAAGTACTTTATGTTTAATATGAACAGGTCATATTCTTCGAAAATTTTGAGATCGTTCTCGATGGTGCCATCTCCATGTGAGACATGATCTGTTCCTTTGAAGGGGTACCTGCTCTCTCGTACTGCATTTACGTCATCACTATGGAGGTCTTCACCCGGAGTGGAAATCGTAGACTGCTTCACTCTCTTTAAATTTATAATGTCGCAAAAATGGGAAAAGAGAAATATGAATAGCTCTTCCTCATCCAGGTGATCAATTAGTATGCCGCGTTCCTGTTTGTTGGAGGGTTCTGCACTTTTGGCGACACCTCCTTCCACTGTGGTTGCGTCGTTTTTGTTTGGGTGGTCCCGTGGGCCGTTCTTCTTGGGTGGGTGGCCATGTTGACCTCCCGACTGATCGGAATGCTTCTCACCACACTGATTACCCTTCTCGTTTGCCAAATGAGGAGAGGACGCGCCCATCCCGGGAATATTCCTTGTAGGCACTTGTCGCGGCTGTATCGCCCCGCCTCTTTCCTCCTCATTCGCATTTTTTCCTTCAGTACCCCGTCGGGAAGAAGGTCCCCCTTGCCGCTTCCCCTTTTTGAAGAAATTCTTTATCGACACCTGCCTGCTTTGATGTCTTCCCAAATAACTGCCCCTGTAATGAGGGATGATGACAATTTTGGAGAAGTTCTCTGGGTGCAGAATCAAATAAAAGGACAGCACCCCCTTGTCATTACGAAAACATTTTAATGTCAACATAACAGTCAGGAGGTTCACATATTCAAAATCAACGTCTTGCAGGAGGTCTACGGGATGCAAAAAATTGATCTTTCTCAAATGGTCACTCGTCTTGTTAATTAGAGTATAAAAGTTATAGTGAAATTCAAAGGTCAACAGGAGAAATCTCAGCAGGCTGAAAATGCTTTTTTTTTTTTTCAAATACAAGAAGAGCTTCTTCTTTTCTCGAGAAAATAATTTATTAATACATTCAAAGGGGGAGTTAAAGATGATGTCGAAGAAGAGTAATTTTTCCAATGTGTCTTCTTCATCGCTCGTTTGTTTTATCTTGCGGTTTGTCGTGATGTTGTTTGTGTCTCCTTCACCGAACCGTTTTGAAAAGTGCTCTTTGTTTTGATCTCCACTTGTGGGACGCGATTCACCAGATGGGTTATCCAGCTGTCCAGACGTTATGTCGCCGCCACTTAGCACGTCGAACACGACAGAACATGCGATCTGTTTGTTAACCGCACAGTGATACTCAATAGTCATGTTTGCAAAATGACAACTGCGGATGGAAATATCGGGGGACATTATTTTTTCCAGATGGTACAGCTCCGGGAAGAAATTCAACACGGAGAATATTTTGCTCATGAGTGAAAAGAGGTGAAGAATGTTCGTTGAAGAGCAGTCATCCTTCAGCAGGAGATACATTTTTTTCATCCGCACCCAATCCTCCGCGGGCGCGTCTGCCCCTTCCCCTCCCAGAGGCTCTACCTTGACATTTACCGCCACGTTGGAGCACAAAAAGGAAACTTCTCTGCTTCTCTTCAAATGGAAGTCTTTTATCTTGAGGAGTCTTTTCTGCCGAAGGGGGACTTCAAAAAAAAAGGACCCATAGGTGTTTACCTTTATCAGGAGGGGGAATTCGCTTCTTCCGTGGCTGCTCAGAAATTCCCTCCTCAAGTAGTTCTCCGCGTCCAGCTCGCATTCCAGGTGAAGCAAGTAGTTGGTGATGTAGTCCGCTGGATATTTCTCCCTCGAGCGATCGTCTGGGTTGGCTCCGTTTGGGTCCGCTTCGTCTCGGTTGGCTTCATCTCGATTCGCTTCCTCTCGTCGCACGTCACCGCTCCCCCTGGGAGGCGCCCGCTTGGACTGGTTCCTACTCACGAAGTATTGAAGGTCGAGGAAGCACTTTTTACTCTCTTTTCTCAGTCGGGTATACACCTCGTCGGAGGAGAGCTTAAGTGTGGGTTTATTCCACAGACGTCTGTCCCCTCCCTGGACAGTTTCGTCAAGCTGAACGACACCTCCGCTCAATGCTCCACCGCCCGAAGGGGCTACACAAAAGCGACTGCAAAAAACGGGACAACGGGAATTCATCTGTAGCAGATTCCCCAACGTGGAAAATAAATTTGAAAATCGGTTCACCATATCTCGTACACCGTCCAGGTAATCTTCGAGATGATTTCCAATGGGGTAGCTCCTATGTATTAGTGGAATGGTAAAGAACTGTCTCTTCTTGCTCTTCCCTTGTCCGCTTCGTACTTTGTTTGTCCCAGAAGTTACTCCGTTACTTTCACCGATCACAATGTACGTTCTGTGTATGCAATCCTTTTCGATCAGCAGGATTAGCAACAGGGGGGTGTCCTCATATGTGTAGATGGTGAAATACAGCACTGAGAAGAAGTTCTGTCGGAAGGGGTGTTTGGATGTGGCTTCCTTTTTCCCCTCTTGGGGGGTCTCCTCATATCCACTGCCCCGCACCGGCAACCGAGGGGCACTGTCGCTAAAACTGGACTCGTCATGATTAATCCGTTCGAAGCGGCCAATGCGATTTTCCTCGCTGGGGTTGCTTCCTCCTAAGTGAGTACTCCCCTGTGGGTGAGACAAGCTGCCTGATTTGTCAACCTCCCCGTGGAGGAATTTCCAGAGAGCCGCCTCAAATGTTCCCCCCTTGGGGGCACCCCCCCCATGAGTGGGCCGCCCCTCGGCCCCGTCCATCTCCTCACTACACGGAAGATAAAAATAAAAATCGATAAAGGAAAAAAAGCTCTGGAGGAATTTGGTCAAAACGATGTTTGCTGAGTAGTTGTATTTCTTTAACAAATCATGAAGTTTCAATTTGTGAACGAAGAAATTGGGACAGAAGTCATCCCTTTCCAGCTCGTAATTGAAGATTCTTCCTGGATTTACCTGGAGAAACCTTTCTTGCAACTCGTTGTAGAGGTACACATATAGGGAGAACCGCTTCAGTAGATACACCACATATATGACGAGCTTAAGATCGTAGTGGAGACTGATCATGTCGATAAAAGTTTTGCTCTTCCAGTGGCACATGAAGGTAAACTTTTCGCTTTGCCTAGTTAGGAAGAGGTTGATTTTCTGTTCGTAGAAGGTGTATGTTAGAAGGCAGAAGTCTCCCTTTTTCTTCCTCATCAGCACTGTTTTGATGCGGTTCTGTAGGGGCGTCAAGGCTACTTTGGTGTCTCCCTCTGTGTTATTGTCACCTCTCTCCATGTTGTTCTCTTCCCCCACCCCGTTGTTCTTTTCCACCTCCCCGTCGTCTTCTCCTCCGCCTGGGGTGGTACCACCCGTTGGGCTGTTCACCCCCTCGTCCTCACAGCGCAGCTCCCCACGGATGTAACCCAAATCGAAGAAGTAATCTTGTATCAACTCATGCACCCCAATTGCGTTATTTTCGAAGGAACTCTCGCTGCTCCTGATGCGATCCATGCTGTCTACCCCCTGGAGTGGTTCCCCCCCGGATGAGCTAAATGCCTTCAAAATAGAGAACAAAAGACTCGTGACACATTTGGCGACCCGACTGAACCAATTCTCCAGGTGAATATGAGCCGGGTCAAACATGAAGAGTCTCTTCATCCTCCTCTGCAGTGCACCACAGTAGACAAACTCGTAGTAAGTTAAAATGTCATCCGTACGGATGTTTTCCTTCTTCCCCTTTTTAAAAAAACTAAATGGCCACAGAAATGCTTTTATGTTCCCATTTTCGTTGTTTAGGACAAATTTAAGGATCATTTTTTTTTTACCATACTGATCAAGTAGGGGGATTTTCTCGAACCAGTTATACATCCCTTTGCTGAGTTGGCACTCATACAAATGAATATCCAGATGAAGTGATGCATCCTTATCAGTCAGACTGTAGTTATAACAAGAGGGAGTCATCTCCACTGTGCCATTCGAAAAGCACTTATAAATAAGAAGTTTCTTCACCGTGTAGCTAAACGTATTATACTGATTTATACAGCCTTTAAAGAACTCCATAATTTGCACACTACAATAGAAGTGACTGATTTTGTAAATCTCGTAGAGTACGTCCGCCAGTGGTAGCGTCTCCTCTGCTTTGGTCCTTTTTTCCTGCTCTCTATGGTAGTGCTGCTCGATGGGATTCATTCGAGCATGGCGCATTTCGTCCGTGTGTATTTGTCTGTCACTGTGTTGGGAGCCTCCTTTTATCTTTAGTAAAAATTCATCGCTATGGGAACTATCCGTGTCGCTATCTTCAGGGGGGGAATCCCCCTGAGGGGCAGCGTCCACCACTCCAGGCAGCTTCGATTCTACCTCTCCACTTATCTTCTTCTCCCCCCTCACCATTTCGTTCATTTTCTGCACAACTCCATAGCTCACCAAACTGATGAGATTCAAGTTATGGGAAGAGTGCAAATTCATTTGGCGTAGGAAGAAGATGTCTGCCTTGACTATACTCCATGTAACAAAGTCGGTGATAAGAGAGACCTTCACTTCGCTAACCACATCTAACTCTATGAATCCGTCCGAAAATACAAAATTTACTTTATCCTTAGGTATCCTGGATGAATAATAATTGATCAGAAATTCATCAACAATTCGTTTTTTTAAGATATTTATTTGATTCGTATCTAAGTTGGGAATGAAAGAATCTGTTGGATTCGTTAAGATGCCCTTGAAAAGCAGAGGGAACCTCGTATACCTCCCTGTGGACAATAAATCCATAGCGCACAGAACATTGCCTTCGTTGATTTGCAGATCCATCATCTTTACTTTGCACAGATATAACTCATACTGGTACTTGCTCTTAAGTTCTCTATAATTTTCTCTATATTCTAAAATGAGCTTAATTATATCATTAATCTCTTTGTAGTTTCTCCTGAATGTATTTATCTCCAGGATTTTTAGGAAGCACTCCCTCATGTGTCGGCAGTACTGGATGAGGGCGCTTCTAAGGTAGTTACAATTGTCTCCGTTGTCGTTATCCACTCGGTCGCAAAAGAGACTCCAGTCGTTTATTGACCTGCGCACCACTTTCTTTAGCATCATTCCGTAGCTGATGCCTTTGTAGTCGTCGTAACCGTCGCAGTCGTCACTCTCGTCGTAGTTATCGGGCTTGTCTGCGATGAGGGAGTCCCTGCCGATGGGCCCGTCTGGCCTGTGTGGCCCGTCTGACCCGTCCTTACCATCCAGCGTCATCATTTGGGAGGAGAAGTCAGCGGATTAGTGCTCTGTGCAGAGGGTACACATAAGCGGGGGGAGTTCCGCATCGTTCTGCACATGGTCTGCCGCGTAGGCTACTTTGTACGTTGGTTCCCTTAGGATCCATTCGACGAAAGCCCGATTTAGCTTCGCACCACGGGTGTGCGGTCAGCGCGATGGCTCCGTTACGGCCTGGCTGCAACTCGGCTGCGATTCAGCTGCGACTTGGCTGCTCGCAAAGTGGGGCAACGCATGAGTCAATAGCACCACAACAGAAAAAAATTATCTTTTCAATTTTTTCGAGTCTCCAAACAAATTTGAAGTGACAAAAAAAAAGAAGTGCCCCCAAATGACAAATTTAAAAACTAGAGCGGGGGGCGTTCGCTCGGGGAAGCATATATACGTGTATAGGCAGACTCTAGTGTTGACAGGAATGTCATCATGCGTGGATACATTTTCTGTGCACGTACATGTGCAAGTGAGTGAATTTGAGAAGGCACTAGGGGATGGCCCCTTCTCTTTCCATTTGGGGAAAAAAAAAATTCCCTAACGTTCCTTGGAGTCGCTCTCGGGGGAGAAAAAAAAGATATGAAGCAGAGCCGCCATATGATGTAGCGACGTGGAATGGGCACTCGAGAAGCTAATTCCCCCCCTTCTGCGGGAAAACTCCTTTCTCGTACTTCTTTCAACCACACTTTATGTGTGACGACATATAAAGGAACGTACTCGTCCCCCTCCCCCGCGCTGGCCATGCAACAAAAAATGGTTACTCAGAGGGGAAGCGATGCCTCTTCTTTTTTTTTTTTTTTCTTCTCTTTCTTGTAACATGTGCGAATAACACCAAAAGGGAGTGCGCTAATATAGCTATTCTCGGAACGATCATTAAAATGGGATAATTCCAGTATGATAAGAGCATATGTGCTGTTCTTCCGATTATCGCTCATCCGTCCACTTTGGATATGCCAACAGGTTGTGAAGAGGTGTGAAGTGCTGCGGACAAGGGGCGCCAGGTGTGGACGTCCTCCAACACCTGCCCAATATTCCCCCCCCCTTCAAAGCAGCGCGTTTAACTTCTTCTTCATATTTTTTATAATCGTGTCGTCCTCATTATATATTCCAGTTTCGATGAGTCGCTTTATTTCGCTTTTTAAATTTTCGATCATATTCGCATTGTCGTTTGTCTTGTCCCTTTTTTTAAATCCGTCCATTTGGGGGGTCGGGGCGGAGTCCTTTGGAGGGGCCCGCCCGCGCTTCTCACTTAGAAGCTTGGCGTGGGGAGGTGCCTTCCTGAAGTGAGCGCCGACCCCTTTGGAGGGGATGTCTCCCCCTTTGGAGGGAATTGCCACCCCTTTGGAGGTGTTGCCCGCCACCCCCTTCCCCTTGAGAAGGCTTCTCTGGGGGGGTGGCTTCTTCCCCCTCGGGTGGCTAGCGAGACTTGCGTGCCTTCCCAGCCGGGGCTCCTTCCCTGGTAGGTTCCTACTCCGGGTTCGCGATGGGTCGGTGCGGATGGCGAGGGGCTCGTCGGGGAATTCGCCTGCGTATAGGTTTATGTACTGATTGGGGGACTGACCCGCTACGCGGTCTTCTATGCGGTTTTCTATGTGGTGTTCAATGCGGTCTTCTATCCGGTCTTCCATCCAGTCTGCTGACTGGCCTGCCAACCCGTCTGACGAGTCCCCCCGCCAGTGCCCGGGGGAGGCACGGTCCAACTCTTTCATCTCGGCCCGCAGAATCAGCCTGACCTCCTGGACGTCCCTCAAAATGGAGCGGACTTTTTCCTCTAGCAAGTCGTCATTCGTCAAATCGTAAATCTGTTCAATCTGTGGCATGAAATTAGCAACGAGCTGGATAATTCGATTTCTGTTTTTCCGCACAGTTTTTACGTAGCTACTGCTGTGTGTGGCTTGTCCCTCCGCCTCCTCTCCCCCTTTGTTTGTGTATCCCCCACAGCCACGCGACTGAATCGTTTGTCGGTGAAATAACTTAAGCCTTTTCAGTTGGTCCTTTAGCTCCTCAAAGTAGGCCTTGCTGATAATGGCATTATCCTTACTGTTGTATTTCCCCAGGATGGTTTTCATTTCTTCATTTTCTTTGCTTAATTTTTTCACCTTTGTAATAGCACTTTTGTAACAGGCTACGAGCTGATCATTTTCTTTTACGAGACTTTCTCCTAAATTGGCCTTCCTTAATTTCTGCTTAAAATGACTTAACGATTTTTCATAAGCGTATTTAATTTTTTTTAATTTTTTTTCCAACACATATATTTCGTCATTTAATTGTTTGTCTTTTAATTTGACAAGGTTTTCATTTTTTTTTACATTTATTTGTTCTTCTTTTACTTTTATTACAATTTCTTTTAATTCGTTTTTTTCCTTTTCGAGTTGATTTTTTCTTTCCCTTTCCATGGCTTCATATTTTTTTATGAGTTTCTTCATCACATTTTGTTCCCTCCTTTTTAGCATCTCCGTCATTCGTCTTTCCTCCTCTTCTTTCCACAGCTTGAATTCGTAGATATTGTTCGGGATGATGTCATGCTTTGGGGAACGCTTAACCAGATGATCGCCGCTCTCATCCGCTGTGAGCATTTCCTCCTGTGGGGACCCAATCTTTGCTCCAACTTCGGTGAACTCACCCCCTTGCCGTGCGCTCAGAAAGACGCGCACACTCAACTCGGACGTTAAGTATTTCTCTTTAAAAACGTTTAAATAAAGAGGCACGACGAAGTCAAACTGGTAGTATTCCCTCTGGGGAGGTGCTCCTCTCTCCTTCATCAGTGTGTTTTTTAACTCCTTGGACACATTTTTGAGGGGAAGTTCCCCCACTCCGATGTTAATTCCGCTGCCAATATCCTCGCTAGAGTCACCTTGGATGCCTTCTCCCTGAGTGTGCTCCTCGCGCAGAGACAGATGGAAGTGCACCACTTCGCCTTCGAGCTGGTCGCAGGGGTCTGCGCCCTTCCCCTGGAAGTCGTGGCTGACGTGGCAATTCTTCAGTTCGATCTGAGGGGGAAGGGGGGGGTAAAGTGGTGGTTACGCGTGACCAGGCGATGATTAGGAAGCAATTTCGTGGCATCTTCTGCTCTACGCTTAGGTGCTACCCACCTGTCGGCTCTCCTCGAAGGGGTAAAACGGAGACACGAAGCATCGCTCAAGCAGGCCTGACTCGATCTTCACGAAGAAGTCGCTCTGCCGGGTCTTCCTCTTCTCCGCGTAAATGTTGCTCAGCTCCAGGATGTGGCAGCGCTCCACGGAGAGGAATAAATTCCACTTGAGGAAGGTATCCTTGGGGGCCCCCAACTCCTTCCTGTTCACGCGAACTCGGTGGTCCCTACTGGGGGAGTTGCTCCTCCTCGGATGGGGCCATTTCCCATTCCTGTAACGGGGGTGAGCCGGTATGCTACTCCCGCTTGTGCCGCCCCCTCCACCGCTGTCGCTACTTCCAACACCGCAGCTACTTCTCCACTGCAGAGAATTGAAAAACCTCCCCTCGCCTTCTCCCCCACGAGGACGCAAACAAATAGACATGATCGTCGCCTGAAAGTTTAACGACGGGGCAGACCCACCGACGGTGCTCAATTGGCACGTCATCGTTTCCATGTCTTTGTAACGAATCCACAAGTCTCCACTTTTTTTATGAAGGGAGAAAAATGGCCCTTTCTTTTCGACCTCCATCCGGATTTTGTTAAAAATAATGCGTATGTCATTGAGGCGAAAGTAATCATAGAGCTCTTCCACTCGGTCTATTAGGATCAATGAGAAGTGGCATCCCATTGTAGAGTTGCCATCGGTAGGGGTGTGATAATCCCCATCACGGTGTTTGTCATTAATTCCATCGAGGGGTCCCCCCTCCGGTGAAACGAAACCAGACTCGTTTCGATTCGCCCCACTGGGGGTATCATCGTGGGCGTCCTTCGGTGAGAGACTTTGCAGCATGTCCCCCACGGTAACCTCTACACAATTGTGACGGAAGAAACTCTGCTCATATGCATCAAAGTTGATGTGCAGGTAGAATAAATGGGTCATGTGGAAGAGGTTCACTAAGTGCCAGTACTTCCGTGCGCGCTTGTCGAGGGGGCCACATGGGTAGCGGTCAGCATAGGGGGCGGCATAGCGGTCGTGACACACTTCGTCCTGCTCATAATCGCAGTCCCGTTTGTTGCTCCCCTCCAAGTCCCTCCGCCCCACCATGCACTCCTCAAACTTGACCGAAATGGAAAAAATAGAATCGCTGCTCACGTAAAAGTTACTAATATTCTCGTACTTCCTCTGAGGGATAAACTCGAAGTCACTTAGCAGATCTTTAAATAAGCACTTGAAATAAATCTGTCCGTTCTCAAATTGAATGTCGTCCTCTACTAGGTCTACGCTGTTGAGGAGGTGTATTTTGTTCGTCCCAGCGCTGGTGCGTCCGTTTGGTTTTCTCCTTTGGTCGCCCGGTAGTGGGTGGTGCTGCCCGTCTGCCTTTACCCCGTCTTGATTTACCCCGTCTGCGTTTACTCTATCTGGGTTTACTCCGCCTGCGTCTGCCCTTTCCTGGCCGTCACCATCACACTGCTCACCTATCTCATACTTCACTTTGCTAATTTGTATGTACAATTCCATGTGCTGAGAGAGAAATGTGGCGATCTCAGTTATTGTTCCATTGAGCAGACATTCGTATTCATTTTTTTTTCTCTTCTTTAATATTTGGTGAAACTTCTGGACAAAGTACTGCTTGGACTTGTTCACTGCCTCGATGTCATTCGCCTCCGCCAAATTGATAATGAAGTTGTGGCAGCAGCTGTTTTCATTTTTTTCGATACTCTTAAAGATGACGAACTTGAGGGTTACGTGGACGCAGACGATTTCTTCTGTATCCATTGAACTGCGCGCATTTGGAGGGATGCCTCAACTTTTGTCTTTGACCGTTGGGGGGGGAGGTTTACTAGGGATCTAATCACTTGGGGTCTACTCCGTCCGAAGGTGCTCAGTTTGGGCTACCGTTGTGCTACCGTTCTGCCGCTCCTCCCTCACAGCGCAACCAACGAGGCCGACTCACACACCCAGGCGCGGGGAAGCGGAAGAGACGCGGAAGAGCAGCAAATAGGGAAAGGGGCCGATGAACGCGCACAGGGGATCGTGCGCCAAGGTGTGCTCATTCGCAATGACGTCTGCGAATGTATGGGCGCGATGTTTTGCAGCCAAAGGCATATTTGCGAAGCCCCGGAGGGGGAGAAGCAGTCAGGTGGTGAAGCGGGGAAGCGGGACAGAAGCGAGGGAAAATGTGCAAAGAGGACCATAACAAGTAAAAAGAAGGTAAAAAAACGTGAAGAAAGCACCAGAGAGGCGACAAAACAATTACAAGCTGCGCCAAAGGGGAAACGAAAAATGCCCTGCGCTCGCTTTCATTTCTCGACGTTCGTGTAATATACGCCTATTTTACCCTTCAGCACACAAAAAAAAAAAAAAAAAAAATCCGCCTTTTTCCCGCCTCCTCTCAAATGCTGCGTTATGTTTTCAAATAGGAAAATGAAAAGAGGCCTCACCAAGCATGATGCCTTTTCCTCGCTCCTTAAGATTTTTTTGCATTTAAAGGGAAAGAACCAAACCACTGTGCGAAAAAGAAAGAATACATATAATCAAAGGGGCATTTTTCGCTAAATTGAACTGAGAACGACGAGAGGAACCATTGGACTCGCCGAACAGGGAGCGGAAGTGGCAAAAAAGAATAAAGAGAAAGGGATCGATCCCCTTGTATTTGCGGCACCAGAGGAGGGAAGCTTCCTTCTGTTTCGCTTCCGCTCATCCGTCCACCCACTGACACGTCGCTACTGACACATCGCTACTGACACATCGCTACTGACACATCGCTGCTCACACTTCGCCGCTTCCCCAAGCAGCAGACTTGTAGGGAAAAACGGAGGCATTGCCCAACACAGGAAGGCAGCCCAACTCCAGCTCCTTGATGTACTGCCCATTCCCGCAACGATGATGAGCGATATAGATGACCTGGACGAGATGAGTCATGATGACAGAACATACGAGGAGCAAAACCTGGACGCGTACGATAATTACGACGAAGAAAACGATATCGAAATGCTCAGTCAACACAAAGTGGGAAAGCTCATTTCTGAGAAGTACCTGTCCGAGTTTATAAACCAAGACGTTTTCTTCATTGGGGAGATTGTGGGCAGACAGGACAACTTACTTAGCCTTAAGTCGGTCAATGGTGAGGCTACAAGGGGGGGCAGCGGCAGTGGTGAGGGGAACAGGTGCAATTTTTAATGGGCCACTCTCCCTCCCTCCACAAGCAAAACCGAACTCTCTACTGCCGCTACAGTCGCTACCACCGCTGCAGCACCACGAATGCACGTCCATTTGGACAGAGGAACAGCCCTATTCCGACCCTTCTTACCACACAGGCAACTACGTCGACTGCGTCATCGGAGACAACCTCGTCAGCGCAGACGCCAAGTACGTAGGGATTAAAGGCACCGTGTCGGACGACTTAAAAATAGTTGAGACGAGGGGCATCATCCCTTTGGACGAAGTCAATTTTGAAGTGGTCAATGAGTATGTAGATATTTTCATGGAGAATGCCAACTCGGAAGTTTTTTTATCGTCTTATTGAGGGAGCAGAAGCTGATGGGGGGAGTTATGACGTGGAATTTTTCTCCGTCTGGTTTGTCCTCCCTGTGTAGGGATCGCAATACCATTGTCCCAGAGTTATCCCCATGAAATTGTTATACGCCCATTTTGTTTATCCACTCCACGGACCCCTTCTCCAGTTTTTTTTTTTTTTTTTAATTTAAATAATTTCGCATCCTTTCCACTACCAAATGGGCATAAACAGCATCATCAAATTAATTTGGTTAATTAACCATTCCTGCATGTCACTTCTTCAAGCTATCTCTTTTTTTTCCTTTTTTTTTTTGTTTAAAAATTCAACTACACATTATGCACACACAAAACAATTAAAGCGTACATTATGCAACTTAGAATTAATCCAATTTGAAAGCTCAGTGGGAGTTCCACGATGTGTGTGCTCCATTTATTTATGGACACATCGTTGAGGGCATAAACGGGGGCACACGATTGACAAAAAAAAGAAAAAAAAACGTCATTGGGGAAGGCAGGCATTGCAACGAATTTGTCGTACGGCCACATTAATGGCCAAATCCATGTCTTTCCCCAAGTGGCAAAAAACATAAAAGGAAAGAAATACGCAATAAAGGCGAGATGGTTGGTCTCAATTCTGCCCAGCCTGGGTTGCCTCTTAAAAAGGCAAATATTTATCTTCCGTTATGAGAGCTAGCCAAACTGCGCGAAAAAAAAAAAAAAAAAAAAAATTAAAACATGTGTGCTGAGGCAAGAGGAACTACCCACCAAGGGTCACACAAGCGGTTTCTTCCTCTTCGCTTCTAGCAGCTTCTGACCGCTTCTGACCGCTTCTCCATACGTACCGTGCGAGTAGTACACCGAGTCGATATTCCGGATGAGCGCCAGGAAGGGAAACTCCCGCCCCTGGGCGTTTATCCTGATTTGGTCCGGCGCAACTTCGTGGGAGGGGGAGCGGAGGTGTGCATGATGAGGTGTAGGGGTGGAAGAAATGGTTCAATACATTTGGGGGAATACATTCGGGTAAATACACTGGGGGAATACACTCGTGTGAATACACATCGGGGGCATACACATGGGGGTCTCCCCCTCACGAGGCTTGCACACAGGGGGCAACTGAATCCTTACGCAGGCGCAGGACAAACGCGTGTTTGAGCAGATTCTCCAGAAGGAAGAGAAAGGAGATGTGCGCAACTCCGCATCCGCGGCCCTTGGAGAGGACGTGCCCCCCACTGGACACGTAGCCAATTATCTTCCTGGAGGCCAAAATTATTTCATCGCCTTTGCGTTTTTCGCCACGGTTGGCGTCTGACTCCTCTGCTAAGTGATATATCTGCTCGTTTCTTTTTGCTAACCCAGGGGGCTGATTCCTCTTCATGACTTTGCTTTTGTATCTGCGGCTGATTGGCTCTTTGAGCTTCTCTGCCTTGTTGCGGTGTCTGCCCCTGTTGATCGTTCTCCGGTGCAGCAGCCACTCGGTCATTTTGGTCGTGTCCCCGTGTTCTACGTGGGGGTGGAAAAAAAAAGTAAAATAATAATAAAGTAAAAAAATAAAATAAGCAGTTAAAATATGCGTTCCACATTATGCTGTGCCAGACTGACTCTCCTCCCCACAGGTAGGAACTATCAAGTGGATGCACCCAAATGGGCACTTCCTTCCCTTGAGGTGTTTTACCTCCTCTGCGGAACTTACTCATGAAAAACTTCGCCAACTGCTCCACCGTGAGGGAACAAACAAGCGAGAGGCGCTCTGGTGTCCCCTCCCTGTACGCATGAACATACACAGAAATGAAGTAGGTTGAAAAGACGGCAAATTTCGCCTTAAACTCATCAATGAAGTTGTAAAAACCGTCCAGGGTGTCCAAGACACATAATCGTTTTAACGAAATGGATAAAAAGCGATGCAGGAAAGTCTTCAGCAAAAATTGATTGTACCAGTCAGAGGCCCTTATAATCTTTATGTGGCTGTTATACGGGTAAACGCACTGCCAAGAATAATTAAAGGGGTTGTTTATACCGAGGCAATAGTAACTAATTCTCTTCCTTAGTGGCTTTTTAAAATATTTATTTTTGGCTAGTTGTTCTCTGAAATTGTTGTATAAAATTCCACCATACGAATCGGGGAAATCTTTTGGATAACATAAGAAATCTGAACACTTGAGTATTTTTTCCCTTTCCTTTAAGCCGATGGCTATGGATCCATTACGTACCAGCAGCTGGAACAGCACTGAACTTTTTTTCTTTGCTGGGCAGAGAATAAAATACCTTTGATTATTGTTACACGTTTGGTTGATGACCAGGATGGGAATCTTAATGTACTTTTTACAATTTTGCGAGATGGTAAGTTTGTTTTTTTTTAGTTCCGTGTAAATTGCACTTGCCTCCTGGCCTTTCGTTTTTTTTGTTTGTTCTGCATTTTTTTTTTCGTTCTCCGATTTGTGTAAGAAATCTTCAATGTATTTTTGTATTTCGTTTTCGTCGTGGGTGGGGCTTTGGCCGGGGAATTGTCCATGTGGTGGACGCGTCTGCAGTGGCTGCTCCTGTGCTTGTCCTTGTCCCTGCTGTGGCTGCTCTTGTTGTTGTCCTTGTCCCGGCTGTGCCTGCCAGCGCCTTTTCCTGTTTCTACTCGCCCGGGGGGAGGGGGCGTCCCCGTCCAACCGGTACATGTCCCCCAGCGCAACGCCCGAGCTTCGCTTCTCCCGAAGGACATCATAACTCTGAATGTTTTTATTTTTTTGGAGCATTTTCAATATGCACGTTTTCACCTTCTTCTTTTTTTTGCTCCGGACATGCTCGTACTTGTTCACTTTTATATTTTTTATCACGTTCTGTTTGATTCTCTCATTCATCAGGATGTTATTGTCGTACGGGCTGAAGCTGCTCGCTTTTAATGTCGCGGTTCCGTTTTTTTTTCTTAAATAGTCGAGCGCGTTTTCGGCCAGGTCGATGTCGTTGTCGTTTGGGCTTGGCCTTCGAACAAGGGGCTCGCGGGCCTTGCCATTTGGGGCACCGCTCACGTGGAAGCCCCTCTCAATGGTGCCTTTCTCATTGGCACACTCTTCGTTCCTCTGTCCGTTTTGCCCCTCCCCCCATTTCTGCGCCTCACAGTCACTAATCTTATAGTTCAGCAGAAACGGGCCGATCGTCTTTGGCAGCAGGGCGTACAGGGGAATGACAAAGTCGTAGGGCAGCGTCACATTCTCATAGTCGAAGCGGTAAAGGTCTCCCTCGTCCTGCACAGTGTACTTGCTTTTTATTTTTAAAATATTCAACAATAAGGGGAGGCTCTTTGGTCCAATTAACTCGTACATGCAAATATTTTTCACGTGTCTTATTTTGACTGCTCCGTTAATGTTTTGAAGAATCTGCATAACCTGTTGTAAGCACAGAGGGTGCACGAATATCCACAGGTCTCTTTCGCGATCCTCCTGTTTGTTGTTTCCATTCTGTTTGTCTTCCGCGAGGGTTTCACTTTTCTCCTCGGCGGTCCTTACGTAGTTTAATTTAAT